ATAAAATTTTTAATTTTATATATAATTTTATATATTTATATATTTATATATATAAAATATATATAAAAAAATATAATTAAAAATATATATATTTTATTAAAAAATATATTATATTAATTTTTTAAAAAAATTATATATATTTATTAAAAAAATTAATTTTTAATATGGTAGGTTGTGGTGGCCCCGCCATAAAAGCCCATTTAGGTACTCCGTCCCCAAGGAATTTTTTAAAAATAAAACCTGTAATTTTTTTTACATGATGGTAGGATTGCTGGTGTCCTTTTTTCTGTCTCATGAACATGAAAGATTTCGGGTACGTCTTGCTACTTCTACTTACACTTAGGTCACACTACCATACTTTGTACAAGCACATATATACACACCCCTCTGGGGTTTTCTTCTATTTTCTTTCTAGTTCTTATTTTGTTTATTTCCTCTTATCCCATGGGGAAGTGGAACAGAATTCTTCCTCCGTAAGCCATGCGTGTTGTAAGAGGCAACTAAAATGCCGGGAGCAAGGGGCTAGTACCTCTTCTCCTGTATATTTTACTAAATGTAAAAGGAGAAACTTTCGTTTTTTCCTTTTGGGCCACCCCGCCCGGGGGGAAAACGGCCGGTGTGTTGAAAGAAAGAAAGATATATACATACATATGTGTGTGTGTGTGTGTGTGTACATATAATATATATGTAATATATATAATATATATATATATATATTTTATAATATATAATATATTTTATATTATAATATATATATATATAAAATAAATAATAGCTCGTGTCGTGGCTACAGACAGACAGGCCCATAACCTAAGCAAATTCTCAGAGTTGTGAGGAAAGGAACTGCAAAAAAGGGGCAGATCTGTAGTAGAAAGCTTTAGGTCTAATGCAGCGAAAATTATGAATCTAATAGAAAAGTGCCTACTGAATTCAAATTGGGAATAAAGCTAGTGAAATTTAATTTAGTTCTTATTTAACATTTCTAAATTATTACTTACATATATAAAATTGTTGACACCAAAGGACACTTGATGAAAATCATTTATATCCACCTAACCTGGGTCTTAATTTTGGCTGAAAGTGGTGTCACTCGTCTGGAGGGAGGGGCAGAGCAGTTGAGTACACAACTTCAGGTTGATTTAGTTGCCTGTGGACACTAGCAGAGAGTGAATCTATCATGTGTCTTGACCCCCTGAGCTTACCATTGTCTTGGACTCTCTTAAGCGTTGGGCTGCTAACCATGTAACAGCGGGTCAGAAGGAATTATCCAGTAAGATTATTGGGAGAAGTTCGTGAGGCAGTGGACAGAATGAAACGGGGTAAATCAAGTGGGGATAGAGTTTTGGAGTGATTCATGCTTTTATTTAATAAATGTATGGAAGAGGGTAAGGTACCCAGGGACTGGCAGAGAGCATGCATAGTTCCTTTGTATAAAGGCAAAGGCAACAAAAGAGAGTGCAAAAATTACAGGGGAATAAGTCTGTTGAGTATACCTGGTAAAGTGTATGGCAGAGTTATTATCGAAAGAATTAAGAGTAAGATGGTGAATAGGACAGCAAATGAACAAGGAGGCTTTAGGAAGGGTAGGGAGTGTGTAGACCAAGTGTTTACAGTGAAACATATAGGTGAACAGTATTTAGATAAGGGTAAAGAGGCTTTTGTGGCATTTATGGATTTGGACAAGGCATACGAGAGAGTAGATAGGGGGAGCAATATGGCAGATAAATAATCTAACACCAAATGGGAGTTGTCACAGTTGCTCTTTGCCAATGACACTATGCTACTTGGAGATTCTGAAGAGAAGTTGCAGAGGTTGGTAGAGTATGTAAAAGAAGAAAATTAAAAGTGAATATAGGAAAGAGTAAGGTGATGAGGAGGTGAATGTATTCAGATATTTACAAGTGGTTGTGTCAGCAGATGGGTTTATGAAAGATGAGGGGAAAAAGGTCAGTGGTGCACTCAGGATTCTATGGAGACAAAGAACTTTGTCCATGGAAGCAAAGAGGGGAATGTATGAGAGTATAGTTATACCAACGCTCTTATATGGGTGTGAAACATGGGTGGCGAATGTTGCAACAAGGAGAAGGCTGGAGGCAGTGAAGATGTCATGTCTGAGGGCAATGTGTGGTGTGAATATAATGTAGAGAATTTGTAGTTTGGAAATTAGGAGGTGTGGGATTACCAAAACTATCATCCTGAGGGCTGGAGTGGTTCGGACATGTAGAGAGGATGGAACAAAATAGAATAACTTTGAGAGAGTAAAAATCTGTAGTGCTCTTGGAGTGTGAGCAAGGTAACATGAATGGAATCAGGGAAACTGGCAGGCCAGACTTAAGTCCTGGAGATGGGAAATACAGTGCCTGCACTCTGAAGGATGGGTGTTACTGTTGCAGTTTTACAATTGTAGTGTAAGCACACCTCTGGCAAGACAATGATGGAGTGAATGATGGTGAAAGCTTTTTTCTTTTTTGGAGCCAGCCTAACTGATGGGAAATGGCCAATGTATTAATAAAAAAATTATTGCTTTATTACTGCCCTACAAAATGCAGAGAACAGTTATCTCGAATCTCACTGGAGTAAAGCTGAAGAATGTGCAGCAGTGGGTGAAATGTTTTGTGGATTCTGGCAGTGTAGACACTGGGCAGCCACACAAGACCACCCCCACATGCATGAAACATTCTTATATGTCAAGAGGACACTAATTTACAGATTTCATCATGTCAGCTCAAAGAAGAGAACCACAGGCGCTTGGAAATGTCTCTGAATATAATGTATGGCACCACCTTCATGATGACTTGAAATCTGGTAAACTTATGTGCTGCAAGAAACCTCTAGTAACTCTATAGCAATGAAAGAACAGACTTGCCTTCTGTAAGAAATATCTTCCATGAGATATTAACAAGTGGAAAGCTGTTATGGTCTGATGAGACAACATTTGCTGTTACTAGTAACCAGAAGGTAAAAGTGTAACTGAAACTTGGCAGTGATCCTTGTGACTCTAAATTTACTAAGGCAACAGTTAAATTTAATGATCCTCTGGTGTGGAGCTCATTTAGCTACAACTGTGCTAGTGAACTAGTGATATTACCACGTATAACAGTGAACAAAGAGCAATATTTACAACTGTTGCTGAATTATTTGCCAGACAGCTTTGTTAAGTGTAGTGCAAAGTAGTTCTTTGAAGACAGAAGAGAACCCTGCCATACAGTTAAATTAGTGACAGTGTAGTTAGAATTAAGTGGAACTGACTCCATAAATAATTGGCCAAGTAAGTTCCCTGTCATTAAACCTTTCACTGTTGAGACCCCTGCTCACAAACTTGCTCTCAGTGTTGAAGAATTTAAAAAAAAATCTTATGGAATTACGCTCTCATGAAGTTAGCGGTTTTGGCGATATATATGCATTGGTGATATCACCCACTTTGAGCCCTATTTTCGGCCAATTCCAGTGTTCCAGTCAACCAAAGTCATAGCTATTTTGCTAGAACTCCATTGGTTCTATCGAAAGAGGACAAGAAACCGCCCATTTACCAATTTCAACTACCCAATAAAGTGGTCAGAAATTGGCAATGTGGCCAATTTCACACAAATTTCAAAAGATGCCAATTTCAAAATAGGGTCCAGAATAAACAATGCAGACATTCCTGGCACTAAAATAACACTTTCTCTGTTCATTAGTCACATCTCCAGGCCCCTCTTATATTACTCTTGCTTTCCATTTTGAATTTTTATTCACAAAAAATAGATTTACTGCCATGCAGACTACTGCATTATTGTAATAATTGTATAAATAATGTCAACCCATTCATGACTGCGTATTAGACTGGCCAGCAGGACATGTATTGGACAGTGACATCATTTGTTTACTCTCGAACATCGGCAAAAATCGAACATTTCCGCTACTTTGAGTTCAATTTCAAGGTACTTTTCTTCGTCAAACCAATCAAAATCATCTCTATTTCTGTAATATATCTTCCATTCTATCAAATGAGACCAAGAAAATGATAATACAACCATAAATACCATATGAAAATACACCTCAAATTCAGCATTTTAAACCAAAAACTGGGTTGGAGTTTTTTTCTCATTATGCACTGCGTGCTGCAGGATTTTTTTTTATATTGCACACACTGACCATGCAGACCCATTTCTCTCATATGTAGGTCTACCAGCTTTCTCCTGCTAGATTTGAAGCTGCTAGAATTTTGGCATATTAATACAGCACCAACACTGGCTTGTAAGCTGTACTAATACGACAGTGAAAGGGTTAATCCCGAATTTGTGGGGTTAAACGAGACAACAGACACCTCAAGTATCAGAAAACTGGTGAATTGCCATCTGTGAGTTGTGGAACAAATTTGACTGTACCTACAGAACCTGGCTCTTTCAGTTCCCAAGACACTTCAAGCATGCATCAAGGCCCAAAAAATTTCAAACCAAGTATTAAGTGTGAAGTGTGTTCATATTTTACCATACTTGTTCATTTTTAACCTTGTTTTTGACTGGTAATGTAAACTAGGCTTCTTAGCAGCATTATATTTTTATCATATTAGTGGAAAGCTCTAAATCCACAAGAGTCATACAGTTATACAATGGGGTAAAGACGGTTTGAAGCAAGGACATTGGCTAAAAGGATGGTAGTAATGGGTGGTGAATCAGAGTGGTGTTAGTTACAAATAGCTGTAAATGCAGGACCATCAGAAAGGAAGGTAAACAAAATAAGGATGTCAGGGCATTAGTAAAGACCCATGGAGCAATGAGTTCAAATTATGTTGGATTATCAGGGTGACAGGCTGATGTTATATTGTATGAAACATAACTGTGCATGAACCCATCTCAGAAATAGTAAACAAGCCATATAACAAACCTCACCGACAGGCAAATTCACCTAAATGAGACCTCGTAAGTATTGATGGTGTACACTACTGTACTGTTACTACCACCAGCATCACTAAACTAGTTATTGGAATTGAAGATATATAATTAATTTAGTATACTTAC